TCCTTTGGGTAGAAAAATATAGCTGGAGTTTTGCAAGAGTTCTTGTTCTTCTGCTTGCTATTTTTTGAAATTCTCCGTTTGCCTACACGTTACAGGTCGCGTTCCCGCGCAAACAGGTTCCATATATTGAAGCATAAAAGAACTGGTGATTGTCCAAATCCGGCAATTTTGGTGGCATCTGAAAGAGCACATCGTTCTCTATCTATTAATGTAAGTTTCATTTCCATATTTGCTTTGGGTAGAAAAATAATGCTGGAAGAATGCAAGAGTTCTTGTTCTTCTGAATGCTATTTTTTGAAATTCTCCGTTCGCATACACGTTACAGGTTGTGTTTGAGTGCAAAGAGGGCTCCATATATTGGACCATAACAAACCTGATAACTGTCCAAATCACGCAATCTTGGTGGCATCTGAAAGAGCACATCGTTCTCTATCCATTAATGTAAGTTTCATTTCCATATTTGCTTTGGGTAGAAAAAGAATGCTGGAAGAAGGCAAGAGTTCTTGTTCTTTTGATTGCTATTTTTTTAAAATTCTCCGTTTGCCTACACGTTACAGGTTGTGTTCCTGCGCAAAGATGGGTCCATATATTGGACCATAACAGACCTGATAACTGTCTAAAACCAGCAATCCTGGTGGCAGCTTGAAGAGCACATCCTTCTCTATCCATTGATGTATGTTTTATTTCCATATTTGCTTTTGGTAGCAAAATAACGCTGGAAGAATGCAAGAGTTCTTGTTCTATTACTTGCTATTTTTTGAAATTCTCCGTTTGCCTACACTTTACAGGTTGTGTTCCCGCACAAAGATGGGTCCATATATTGGACCATAACAGACCTGACAACTGTATAAATCCAGCAATCCTCGTGGCATCTTGAAGAGCCCATCTTTCTCTATCCATTGATGTAAGTTTCATTTCCATATTTGCTTTTTTTAGAAAAATAACGCTTGAAGAATGCAAGAGTTCTTGTTCTTTTGCTTGCTATTTTTTGAAATTCTCTGTTTGTCTACGTTTCACAGGTTGTGTTCCTGCGCAAAGAGG